GAAACAGATATAGATAGATACCAATATTGATAGACAATACATATTTATATACGTACCTACACATACACTGTTCACATACGATAATATAAATGGAATATATAGCATGCATGAATGCAATTTTCTCATGCACGCTAAAAGCTACCTTTAAAAGAGGCAAATGGCGCAGATGCGCCGAGCTTGTCACTCGCCATCCGTTGCTGAGCTGTCTTCCAATCAGAAATTTCTCCCGAATCATCTTTTTGAGAAGTTGTGCGGTCTTTTGATGATGCTCGCTTCCTGTTTTGGGTCGTCCTTTTCTCCTCTTTAATTGTCCTTGTCTGCATCTCTATACTTTCTTTCAGAGCTAATTTTGTGTTTGCCATGATTCCCGATTGTGTCTCGTGACTTGTCCCCAGGCCGCCAGTACTCCTATGACCACCCACACCCGCGCCGACCCCAATAAAACAGACATGCGAATGAGGACAAATGCAAAGAGAGAGGGATGTCATAGTCACTCCAGTACTTCTTCTTTCGATACTGTGTTTGAACGTATACATGTTCATCCTAGGTACATACCGTACAGACAAGAACTAACACGTCCTGGGCGCCCCGTATGATCGCCTCACACAAATGTCTGTGGTACGTAGTAGGCCCAGGGACAATTCCGATTACAGATAGTGCTCGTGTGTAATTTACCAACCACCACATTCACCCCCTGTTCAATATAGATCAGGATTTAGAAAACAACATCCCAATAGATATCACTCTCTCCTCTATCACTAGCAGTCTGGATCCACCTGATTTTACCAAGTGTTGGCAAATATGCCTACGACAGATTTGCATTGACTTGCAGCTGAATAGCAGTTATATCCACAAACATCCTGCTATGAAACGCCCACCTCCTAGAACACATCCGCCTTAAGCGCCTACCGGCAGACACAGTTGCAAATCGCAACCCGGTGATGCGGTAGTGAGTCCGAGACAGTAGTGCCGCTACTGGTCTCTCTCTCATATTCAGTAATACGAAATGCAAATCGGTCACAGTATATTTTCAGCACCATACATCTACCACAGCCAAACACACATCCACGATGTGACGGAATAGAATAGATACCGAAACGCACAAGAACGTAGGTCCATTTACCAGTGAATGGGTAAGTAGCTCTTGACACCCCGGGTACTGTCAGCACTATGACAGCTCGCCTCTTGACTACCGAGATTTGACTGCATGCTCTGGCTGTTCCGACCTATACTACCCGGCCCTGAGGTGATCAAGCACAATGCTTTCTATTTAGACCACTTCGAATACGTATAGACATCGCGAAACAGTACGGACATACAGATATCGGCTTTAAAATGTATTTATAAATATTGATACAAAGATTTTCATGTGCATGAGCATGTGCATATAGATCTATATATATAAATATATATATATATATATATATATATATATATATATATTAACTAANATACGACACACACACACATATA